AGCGGGAGATGAAGCCCATGGAGTTGGCAACATCCCAGATACACACCCGCGAAAACCAGAATCAGTCACAAGGTTCGAAGCAAAGAGCGACGAGCCCAGAGACACCAAAGAGACACCAAAGAAGAACCTCCCAAGAGGGAGGAAAAACAGTGGTTGAGCAAACAACGCAGGGCGCGTGCAAGGGATTACAAAGAAAATGGTCACCCAAGAGGCACCAGCCACAACTTGAAGATTTCCACCACAGTCTCAACGAAGCAGCTCCCCAACAGATGATGGTGGAAGCAGTTGTCCCCTTAATTCAACAGATTCCACTCCCAGGAGGAAATTTAGAGATGAAGCTCTCAACAAGATGTTCAAGCCGAGCGACTCCAGAGACAAGCTCCTCGTCAACAAAGAAGATCCAGCTCAAGAGTCAGATAAGATTCCAGAAGATAGCCGCACCAACGGCGCATCCGAAACTTGAGATAGTTTAGGGTTTTCTAATTTTGATTGTAACTTTCGTAAGTCGACGAGGTGGTCGACAGCTTAAGTGGGGGAGGATGTTAGAATCCAACTCCTTTTGATGTATTAGATTCCATTTAAGTGCTTTCCTAGAGTTTAGGTTATGTTTTCTTAGCTTGAGGTCCCATTATTGTGTTACCGTCAGATCAGTGTTCACTAGGGATTCTCCTTGTATGTCATTTAAAGCTCTTTAGAGGGCGAATGATTAATGAAATCTTGAAGCCTTCTACCAAGTGTTGCCTTGCTTTTATGCTTGTTTGTTTTTAGACCTTTATAGATATTGTGTCTTACTTGCATATTAGCTCCCCTCCAACCCAACTTGATGCGCTAAGGACTCGTGGTTCGGACCCGCTTGTGCCCGCTTTGAAGTATCGGCCGTCACAAGCCCCGACCACCCGCACTCCGTCGCCCAGATAGACGTGAGTGCTCCTGAGATTCTATTGCCCGCTTGTGTTGCTTTGTGCTCACAAGCCCCTCTTCCGCTCAAGGCTAGCGTTCTTGTCGCCAAAAGGCTAGAGCGCGCCGCACGTTTCGGGGTCCAAACTCCCGGACCGTGACAGTTGGTATCAGAGCCGAGGCTCAAACCTCGTCGCAAGCAACCCGTGTAGGCACCAAGGAGGGCTACACGAAGATGGAATTCGTAGAAGAAAGGCTCGCTTGGCTCGAGGAGAAGGCGGACAAATGGGCCGAGCTCCAAGTCATTGTACACGAGCAAGCCGAGCAAATTGTGAAATTGATGGCTGACAGAGATGCCCTCCGCGAACAATTGCAATTTGTTCAAGGAAAAGCCGACGAAGCACTTGAGAAATGTGCTACCTTAACGCGCGTTGTGGGCAGAGACGCACTGGGTGTTGGTGCGGCGAAGATAAAGCCGCCCAAACCTCGCGACTACAGTGGCGCTAGAGATGCGAAAGAAGTTGATAACTTCCTCTTCGACATGGAGCAGTACTTTCGAATATGTCAACTAAGTGACGATCAGAAGGTGGATACTGCCATCATGTACTTGTCCGAAGATGCTAAGCTGTGGTGGCGCACCAAGCACGCAGACATCGAAGCAGGAAGGATCAAGATTGATACATGGGCGGAGTTCATAGAGGAACTCAAAGAACAATTCTACCCCGTCAACACAGCGTTTGTTGCACGGATGAAGTTGCAAGAGTGCCGCCAGAAGGGTTCTCTTCGCAACTATGTTAAGGAATACTCGGCGATAATGTTGGACATCACAGACATGAATGAGAAAGATCGTGTGTTCAACTTTGTCAACGGGTTAAAGGAATGGGCGCAGCGAGAGATTTTGAGGCAGAATATTGATACCCTCGCTGCTGCTATGTGTGCTGCTGAGTGATTGATGGACTACTCAGTCGGGAAGGGTCGTCAATCCGAGAAGGATTCAAGTGGGACGTCAACACGCTCTAACAGTCCGTCTCCAAGCTCTCCAAAGGGTACAGAGAATGGCTCACGAGTATCGTCCAACACCATTAATACATATCATAGAAGAAGTGGAGGAGGTGATGCCCAGAGACAAACATCTACCCCCTCCCACAACTCAGGAAACTCGAGGGCCGGCGCATCCTCGGCAAACACAAGGGCAATAAACTGCATACTTTGTCGAGGTCCACACAAATGGTGGGATTGCGAGCATAAAGAAGAACTTGACAAGATCCAAAAGAGATTGTCATCCATGTCCGTTCAGGAGGCCACAAAAGAGACTAGCAGCGATGAGGAGCCCACATATAGGATGGGTTCCATACGACGCCTGAGTGCTATGAGAATGATAGCACCTCAAGGAGAACCAGAAGTCCGATATCTTTCGGTAATGCGAGTGATGGAGCCTGAGAAGAAGGCAACATCGAAGAAATAAGCTCGCACCAGAAACCCAGAGAAGCGGGAGATGAAGCCCATGGAGTTGGCAACATCCCAGATACACACCCGCGAAAACCAGAATCAGTCACAAGGTTCGAAGCAAAGAGCGACGAGCCCAGAGACACCAAAGAGACACCAAAGAAGAACCTCCCAAGAGGGAGGAAAAACAGTGGTTGAGCAAACAACGCAGGGCGCGTGCAAGGGATTACAAAGAAAATGGTCACCCAAGAGGCACCAGCCACAACTTGAAGATTTCCACCACAGTCTCAACGAAGCAGCTCCCCAACAGATGATGGTGGAAGCAGTTGTCCCCTTAATTCAACAGATTCCACTCCCAGGAGGAAATTTAGAGATGAAGCTCTCAACAAGATGTTCAAGCCGAGCGACTCCAGAGACAAGCTCCTCGTCAACAAAGAAGATCCAGCTCAAGAGTCAGATAAGATTCCAGAAGATAGCCGCACCAACGGCGCATCCGAAACTTGAGATAGTTTAGGGTTTTCTAATTTTGATTGTAACTTTCGTAAGTCGACGAGGTGGTCGACAGCTTAAGTGGGGGAGGATGTTAGAATCCAACTCCTTTTGATGTATTAGATTCCATTTAAGTGCTTTCCTAGAGTTTAGGTTATGTTTTCTTAGCTTGAGGTCCCATTATTGTGTTACCGTCAGATCAGTGTTCACTAGGGATTCTCCTTGTATGTCATTTAAAGCTCTTTAGAGGGCGAATGATTAATGAAATCTTGAAGCCTTCTACCAAGTGTTGCCTTGCTTTTATGCTTGTTTGTTTTTAGACCTTTATAGATATTGTGTCTTACTTGCATATTAGCTCCCCTCCAACCCAACTTGATGCGCTAAGGACTCGTGGTTCGGACCCGCTTGTGCCCGCTTTGAAGTATCGGCCGTCACAAGCCCCGACCACCCGCACTCCGTCGCCCAGATAGACGTGAGTGCTCCTGAGATTCTATTGCCCGCTTGTGTTGCTTTGTGCTCACAAGCCCCTCTTCCGCTCAAGGCTAGCGTTCTTGTCGCCAAAAGGCTAGAGCGCGCCGCACGTTTCGGGGTCCAAACTCCCGGACCGTGACAGTTGGTATCAGAGCCGAGGCTCAAACCTCGTCGCAAGCAACCCGTGTAGGCACCAAGGAGGTATATTGCTATTGATGAGTTGTGTCCTTTATGCGGGATTGGGGTGGAATTGATATGCCATGCTTTGTTTGATTGCAATAATGCTAGACTTGTATGGGATTCTTTTGAACTTCAGGAGAAGATTAGTGCTGCTCCTTCCTCATGCTTTAATGAAAAATTCTTGTGGTGACAAAGTAGGCTTAACAAAGGAGATGTTCGAAGGATTATGGGGTAGGCATGGTGTCACGGTCCGGGAGTTTGGACCCCAAAACGTGTGGCGCGCTCTAGCCTTTTGGCGGCAAGAACGCTAGTCTTGAACGGAAGAGGGGCTTGTGAGCACAAAGCAACACAAGCGGGCAATAGAATCTCAGGAGCACTCACGTCTATCTGGGCGACGAAGTGCGGGTGGTCGGGGCTTGTGACGGCCGATACTTCAAAGCGGGCACAAGCGGGTCCGAACCACGAGTCCTTAGCGCATCAAGTTGGGTTGGAGGGGAGCTAATATGCAAGTAAGACACAATATCTATAAAGGTCTAACAACAAACAAGCATAAAAGCAAGGCAACACTTGGTAGAAGGCTTTAAGATTTCATTAATCAATCGCCCTCTAAAGAGCTTTAAATGACATACAAAGAGAATCCCTAGTGAACACTGATCTGACAGTAACACAATAAAGGGACCTCAAGCTAAGAAAACATAACCTAATCTCTAGGAAAGCACTTAAATGGAATCTAATACATCAAAAGGAGTTGGATTCTAACACATGGGAAATTTGATTTTGCAAGAACAAGTTCGTTTACGAACAGGTTGATTATGATGCAAAGTTTACAGCTGCTGGTTTTGTGAGGTTAATCGAAGATTACATATTGTATAATTCCAAGGTATGCTCGCCCCACCTTCAAGCTGGACACCCCCCCTCAATTGCTTGATGGATCCCCCCTCCTGAAGGTATTGTAAAATTGAATGTTGATGCTCACATTGAGAAAGGACAATATGTCAACCTTGGTGCTATTGTGCGTGACCATAAGGGTGGGATTTTACTTGCGGCTGTGAAGCATATGCAGGTTCAATGGACTTCAGAGATGGCCGAGGCAACAACTATTCGTTTCGGCCTCCTCTTGATGCGTAGGCATGACTTTAAGGACATATGGGTGGAAAGTGATACTTTGTCAGGGGTAAAGAAGATCAACCAAGCTGCCAGTGGCTTATCTCCTTTATTTCTTATGTATGAGGACATTAGAAAGTTATCATGTTTATTCCTCCTTTTGTGTTTTCTCATGTGAAAAGAGCCGGTAATACCATTGCCCACTTAGTTGCTAGATGGGATACTAACGGTAATGTGGAACATGTATGTATGAACTCCTTTCCTCAAAGTTAATAACTTTAACGGAGCTTGATTTAATATAATTTCCGGCCTACTTTAACTAAAAAAAAAACTTTCTAAAAGGATAAAGTGTGATTAAAAAAAAAAAAAAAAAAAATATTTAAATAAGACCACGAAAAAATTTACACCCTCTCAAAACTGAAAAACAATCCCAAAAAAAAAAAAAAAAAAAAAACCGAAAAACAAACTACTCCGGAGTCCGTAGTACATCACTTTGTAGCTTCTGCGTCCCCTGATTTCACTCTCTCTCTTACAAATCCAGCCACCACAGACTGCCGTTGCTATCGCCGTATTACAATCTTCCTCCGGTAACACTGAATTTCATCCCTACTCTCCTTTTCTTCTTTATTTTTCTATAATTCAATCGTAACCCTAATTCTTTTGCTATTCCATTTCGTTGAATTTCAGCCCTAATCGTTAGTGATTCGTCTCATCTGCCGCCATCGAAGGCTTCCGCTTAAGTCTTCTACAGGTCATTCCTTTAATTCTTCTCAATTTTGCTTATTTTGTCATTTGTTTGGATTCTATGTGGGTTTGCTGCAAATTTGGGTATTTTTTTAGGGTTTTTTTTTTTTTTTTTTTTTTTTTTTTTGCGTTTTACAATGCTTAATTTTAGTGATCTAAGTTTTAATGCTGTCTCATTTCTTTCTTTTCACTACTTAATTGCTCTGAATTGGAGTATTTTTTGGTTAATTACGTATGATGATGATTGACTTGTATATGACTAAATTTCTAGGAAAGTTCACAAATTTGTCAAAAGTGGTGTTATAACCTTGATTAGACTGCTTAGATGCGCACCGTGTATTGTAATTTCGGATGCTGCAAATTCAATTTGCTGTAAACTAATGTGGATGGTACAATGTTTGGAGGGCAATTTGAGTCTAAGCATATGATATGAACATACTTCAGATCCTAAAGATGAATTTTATGTTACTTTCTATTTCTGCCATTTTTTTTTTTGTAGTCATGAACTGCCCTTTTATGTAAGCTCTTTTTCTCATTTGATCTATTAGGGTTCTGGACTAATTTTCTGGCTTTATATTTCAGATTTGACAATGCAAGTGAATAAAGATTAAAGCTTGAATATTGATTGAAAATGGCAAAAGGTTTATAAGATAGGCTAATAGCTCGAGGCTATCACTCTCAGTAGCTTTAGGCTATCAATCTCTAACAATGGCTTGAGGCCATAATTCTTTAAGGTTTCCCTTCAATACAAATTTCTGCCTACTATTTCCTTTCCCTCCTCTCTTTGTTTATACTAAAACTAAAGACTACTAACCTAATAATACTATAATACCAATATTGCCCCGGTTTGTCTATTACAGGTTCATTAGATGTAATTAGTACTCTTTGACTCTTTGTTTGGTTTAGCCACCAGAACAGAATAATAATGAATTGGTTTAGAAAGATGTTGCAAAGTGTAAAAGTATGCATATGATTGTGGCTTTGGCATATCAGGTATGCCAATGTAGGGCTGATGTATTGTTTATTCCATTTAGGGCTTCAGTAAACTTGGATGATATTTCATCAAAAGTTGACTTTTTCTTTTCTCTTTTAAAAGAATGAGGTTTCAAAAAGCGTGCCTGGGCACAGGGCAGAGTCGGGTGCCACAGCTGGCACCCTAGCTCTGCCAAGCGCAAAGACCCAGTGACCCACAAAATGTGCATGCCTATGCGCTTTTTTTGTTTCCTAGACTGCTTTTTGCGCCTTTGCACCTTATGTTGTATGGTGTCAATAGCTAATGTGTATTAAAATTTTATTAACAAAATCATCATCTAACTTCGCAACGGTCAGATTAAATTTTATACTAAAGGAGAAAGAAATCCTGTATCCCCCAATTCCATTAGAAGAACCCTAGCTATCGATCACATGACCCTTTCACCTTTTCAAATTTTTTTTTCTAGACTTATTTAATTAAATTTTGTTCTTACATAAATAAAGTGCGCTTCACCTACAAAAGGCGCTCAATACCCTTTCTTCTTGAGCCTATGCTCCAAGTACTTTGCGCCTTGGTGTGCCTCATCCCTTTTAAAACTGAAGGTTGATTACAGTGGCAGGGTTACTTATATCACTGCCCTTATTTGGGTGTTTAATGCTCTTATAATTCTTTTTAATCCTTTTGTTTTAATGGCTGAGCTTTGTTTTCAACTGTTTTTGTTGATTCGTTCTATGATGCAAATGATTGATTATGTGTCTTCTTTCAACATTATTATCTTCAAATACATTGTATTATTTGTGGGACTAAAAAATGTTATTGTGAAAGCTCAATAATGCTCTAATGATCCTGTGTCAAAGTGATGATGATAATTTGACCGGCTGTGGCTGTGGCTTTGTTTTTAATTCACTTTAAAAATTTCAACCCTGCACCCCCTTGTTTTTGCTGGGATCAATTCGCTTTGATTAGGTGTCATTGAATGCAGAGGAGCTTTGTTATTATCTTCTGATTTCTGAGGATTAGTGTTATCATTCCTTCGTGCTACTACTGTTGCTTTTATCTTCATATCCTCTTTTTTACTTGTTATTTTGGTTTTGATTTCTTCTAAAATTTCAATCTTAGGTTAATGGCAAAATTAAAAAAGAGAAGACTTGCTGAAGTAGCTTCAAGACGAGCTGCTGAAGTAGCTTCAGTACAAGCTGCTGAAGTAGCATCAGGACAAGCTGCTGAAGTAGCATCAGGACAAGTTGCTGCAGTAACATCAGGACAAGGTGTTGAGATGACGTCGGAACAAATTGCTGAAGTTATTGCTGAAGTAACGTCAGGACAAGTTGAAATAGCGTCAAACTCAGACTCAGCTTCTGACTCAGACTCTGATAATGAGAATACAAGGGGTCGTACTGTACTTGCAGCAGTAAGGAAGGTGATTCAGAAAGGAGAGAAAATTCGCTTGGAATGGAATGCAGCAAAAATTCCTTGTGGGGATCACCGACCCATTTTTGCCACATTAATTGGTGTAATTGTACGTGAGCGAGTTAGCATCACCTATGAGGAGTGGTCCCATGTTCCAGCAGAACTCCTGAATGAAGTGTATGATGACATTACGGTGAGCATATAGTTTTACCTTAGAGATTTGTTTTGTATGCACCAGTAATGCATATGTGTCTTGCAGAAAGGATTCATTGTTTTGCCTGATCGAAAAAAATGGATTTTAAGGCGAGCTGCTGAGCGATGGAGAGCTTTTAAAGCTAGATTGGTGAAGAAGTACCTGTACAAAAGGTCTGGAATGATAAGAAAGAAGGTGCCATTAAAATATTCCTTTATATCTCAAAATGATTGGGAAAAGTTCACTGCATATTGTACTAGTGATAAGTTTAAGGTATTATTCCATATTTTCTGTATAATATTTGTCTTTCAAATATATTGTTCCTTATGTGTATTAACGTTGAATTAACATGAAAAGGAATTAAGTGAAAAGAATCGAGAAAAGGCAAATATGAAGACGTCAAGGTACCGAGGGGGCCGAAAAGGGTACCAGCATTTTGAACAAGAGATTGTAAGTTTGATTGATTTGTTTGATTGGAACTCATTGGATTTTTAACTGTTTCACCTTATTAACTTGTGTAATGTTAGGCAAAAGAATTCGAAGCGCAGGGGATCCACATTGATAAGGTGCCTCGACATTTGACTTGGCTTAAAGCTCATGAAAATAAAGCAGATCAAACCTATGCGCCCGGTGATATGGAAATCGCTGAAGCAATTGTAAGATCCTGCAACTTGCAAATTCACAAAAACATTTACCATTTGCTAACTTGTTTTGGTTATTCATTATTTGATGTTAGAAAACCCTAGATGCCCAAGCTAAAAAAGGTGATTTGTCTGCTACGGGCCGAGATGATATTCTAGCAAAAGTATTGAAGAAGCCTGAGCATGGTGGTTGTGTTAGGGGTGTTGGATCAGGCATCTCGAATAAGGAGTATTTTGGGTTTGCTGGGAGACCAAAAGTTGGTCAAATGCTGGATCAAATTCAAGCATTGCAATCTCAAGTGACAAGAATGGCAAACATGCAAAATTTTATGATGGCATATTTCATGGCATGTAACCAACCGTCTATCATGCAGCCCAACCCAGAGCAAATGAGACAGTTGATGGCTGGTGGATCTGGGTTCGGCTTTGGCCAATCTAATGGTAACAATAGCCAATCTGGCCAACTTGGTGGTTTTGGCGGGCAATTTGGTGGATCTAGTGGTCCATGGGGTGGCTTTGGTCAGCTTAACCCATTTGGGAGTGGTGGCCCATTTGCGGGTGGTGGCCCATTTGGGGGTGGTGGCCCATTCTCTGGTAATGGGCAAAATGTGCCCGATCCCTCAGTTTCTTCTGAGCCTCAAGCCCGCCTCCATTGTGAGCCACTGGTTTCTTCTGAGCCTCAGGCCCGCCTCCATATTGAGCTTGAGAAAAGCTGTGTCCCTGAGTCCCAGACAGTTACAAAAAAAGGCCGAACATTAAGAAAAAGAAGAAAATAAAGCTAGTTCCTTAGCCCTTCATTGGTGACCAGACTTTTCACGAGGTATACATTCTAATACTCGTCATCAATAGCAAATATATACATTTTTTATTTGTAAATTCTGCATTTTGTTTCGTTCTGATTTACTCTATTTTGTAAAGTTTTCTCAAACCTTAAACCTATTTTTTTCTATAGGACCAAGGTGGTGGACTGGTGGTTGTTGTTGTTGAATGTTTTTTCTCTGATGACGTGTATCTAAATGATTGGGAGCGATTCTCAAAATTTCCATTAAGGGTGACCGTTTGTCTTTTGCTGATAATAAAGTGACCTAAACTAAGGCTAGTGATTTCCTAAATTTATATGATTTTCTAGTGTGTATTTAATGCTTATATGTAGCCCTAAAGGCTTATGTATAGCATTTTTCTTTTTTTTTTTTTGAAGAAAAAAGTTCTAAGTACTCCGTAGGATTTATTAACGCATATCATGTTCCACCAAGGTGTTAATCCCTTGACTCCTTGAGTTCATACTAACTGATTCAGAACAACTATTAGTATTTCATCTTGCCACTGCATGGGATAAACCAAGGCTAGTAGGAAAGCTTGACTAAGACTGATTAGACAAATGGAAATGGACGGGGGCTGAGAGAGAGAGAGAGAGAGAGGGTGGGGGGGGGGGGGGAGGAGGGGGAGTGTTGATGAGCTTGGCATTAGAGAACAGAGAAGTATGAACCGATGGAGGGCTTAGTTATAGCAGGTCATGTTCCCACGTGGTAATTTTAACAATCATCAGTATTATGCTATGCATTTGGGTTACTGAATTAATCAAATCATTTTGCTTAGTTTGTTAAGCACTTTTTTTGGTATTAATTTATTTTCTCTAAATGTTATGCAGATTGTGGAAGCTCAGCCCAGTGACCCACCTTTCAACTGCAGTTGCTGACAAGGTCAGGGATTTGTTGGTTTAGTACGAACAAGCTGAACTATTTTTTCATTATTTTGGGAGTACTTAATTTGTAATATACTGTAGTTGTTTTAAAAGAAATATTATGGACTTAAGTGTCGTAGATTATTCTGAATTGGTGGGAAGGGATTAGCCGTGTGAGGAATGCAAGAATTGTGATTCAGAGTATTGCGATTTTTGGTGGTTTGGTAAATGAATTTGGCGTGCATATGTGGTCATTAATCATATGAGTAAATAACAATTAGATGTATGATAAAAATTAAGGGCAGAGAGTAGAGATCTAGCTCTATAATTCTATATTATGGAGTGAGGATGGCAAAGAGAGAGTCAGGCAGTGCACCGGTCCAAAACCAGACTAGACCTGAAATGGGCTGGGATTGGATTAACAATTTTTTCAGGATCAGAGAGTCAGAGACCAGACCGGATTAGTTTCGCTCCAAAACGGTATGGTCTAAATTTATATCGATTGGACGTGGTCACAAATTCTCCTAAAAGGCGGGTATATATTAATTTATTGTAAAATGGGTTAAAGTTACTTTAAAAGCATTTAAAGTTATCCTTTATACTGCAAAAGTAATTATTTTTTTATTAATAAATTTTATCTTACAAAAAACTTATAATGTATTAGATTAATCATATTAGTATTTATAGTATGTAATCACGTATTTATAACAAATTACACATCAAAATAAAATTCAAACCAACGACAAATTAAAACTTACCCTTTAAGTAGTTAAAGTTATCATAAAAATAGTTAAAGTTATGCTTAAACTGTCCGTTTTATAATAAAATTAATGTACACCCATTGTACACAAGATTTATTCAGGCGTGATTTACAATTTTTTTTTTAAAATAAATTCAGTCACTCACAAGTCACAAATATCCTTTTTTTTTTTTACAAAACCGATTATCTAATTAAATCTAAAAATTGTATATGTACTCTGTAGAATCTAAAACCAAAAACTTTTGACTGTTCCAAAATCATAAGCATTATTAAATTTGAACATTAATTTTTTAGGATAAATTGGTAAAAATAATCTTAACTCTAGGCTATTCTAAATGATCTCAACTTTGGATTACAATTTTGGGGGTCATTTGCTTTTGATAGTCCCAACCATTCATTTGCTCCAAATTTTGGGGATCATCTGCTTTCTAAACAACTATATTGTGTACCCGTTTTATGTCCGTACCCGTTCTAGTGTAACCTAGGTCCAAATTATTACTCGTGCGGCATGTTTGGTAAGTGATTATAATTAGAAGGAATGATAATTGATTCTTATTTAATTTTACAAAGAAATCCTATAGTTATTACCATAGCATGTGTTCAAATATTTTCATGATTAAATAAGAATGGTATAAGTTTTACACTTCGTATCTTTTTTGTTAATAATTCTAAGTTTCTAACTATGCTCAGTCTTCTTTTAGGGATACATTAGATTAAATCTAAAATTTTTCATTGTAGAAATTTGACTATTTCTTACTCAAACAATCTACTGCATATAGATTAGATTTTTTTTTTTTTTTTTTGATATTTTAAATGTATATACATAAGACTAATTTGGTACACAACTACTAGTGTTGCTATAGTACATAGTGAAATGAATGTGAATTGAATTGAATTGAAATGGATATAATTTTGACCCAAGAATGAAATGTCTCTACACTTACTATTTTGTTATTGCAACAGTGTAGTTACAATAACGGCTTATTGTCAGCACTGCATCGTATTGTATGGGCCCATAGCCCAAGGGCAAATACGAGTGATTAGTAAGCCCAAATAAAATCTCCCAAAATTCTAGAAAATGCTTCAAACCCCTCCACTCTTCCATCACTCTCGCAATTTTTGATAACATTTCAGTTTAAAATCTGAAACATTCTCAGAATTAACGAGAACTTTCTATTTATCATTTATAAATAACTCTCTTCATCTGAATAATTCGATAATTCATAATCTTAAAAAACCTGCAATTCTAAACACAGAAAAACCCAAACAACGATCAATTGAAATTACTGAAAGAAACAATGTCGCTGATTCCAAGCTTTTTTGGAAACCGACGAAGCAACGTCTTCGACCCATTCTCTATTGATTTATTCGACCCTTTCCAAGATTTTCCCTTGAACAACTAACACCTCTCGATCACTCACCTCCACCGGTGGCGACACCGACACCGCTGCATTTGTGAACACCCGAATTGACTGGAAAGAGACTCAGGAGTCCCATGTATTCAAGGCGGATTTACCCGGCTTGAAGAAGGAGGAGGTCAAGGTTGAGGTGGAAGATGGGAATGTGCTCCAGATCAGCGGAGAGAGAAACAGGGAACAAGAGGAGAAGAATGACAAGTGGCACCGTGTCGAGCGGAGTTCTGGAAAGTTCTTAAGGAGGTTTAGGTTGCCTGAGAATGCCAAGATGGAGGAGATCAAGGCCAATATGGAGAATGGTGTTCTTACTGTTACTGTTCCTAAAGTTGAGGAGAAGAAGCCTCAAGTTAAGTCAATTCACATCTCTGCTGCTTAAATGGGTTCAATCTTGATTATTAGAATATAAATCATATAAGATTAGTGTTTAATTATGTAATCTTCTTTCATAGTTTCATTTCTATGTTATTCCGTAATTATACTAAATGTGTTTAACTATCGTACTCATCTGCATATTTGTACGTGTATTTGTGTGATGATCCAAGTATTAATGTTGTTTGGGTCCAATTTAGTCAAAATTGGGCCTGGGCACTAAATGATCCAATTAAAAGCCCAAGGTCAAGGTTCAACCCTCCAATTGCTCAAAAGTCAAAGGTCAGCCCACAGAGTAAGCCAATTGGGCCAAAGCCTAACCTCTCCATGTATGATGAGGTATAAAAGCCATCATATTGACACAATCAAAAGGACACATACATTCACATTCCAATTCATATGCTCATTCTGGCATTCAGAAATATTCCACAAAAGCCTCAAGCTACAAACTCTCTTGCATAGTGTCTTCTTTCTACACATTGTACTGACTTTAGCATCGGAGGGGCCTTCCTCGGAAACACCCCCGAGGCTAGTTTACGCGTGTTCACTGTGCAGGAAACCTTCGGCCCAACACAACTTGGATCGAATCCAGTCTTCTCCATTTCAGTGGACCTTCGGCAAGGTCCCATTGTTTTCAACCGAAACAATTTGGCGCCGTCTGTGGGGAAGACTTTCAAAAATCTTTAAGCCAAATTCCTAACCAAGATCATCTTGCAATTATCTTAGCAGCCATGGCTAAGAACCGCAAGAGCAAAAGCCTCCGTCAGGGAGCGGGCGAAAAGCCTAAGACCCCATCGCCCTCGCCGGACCGGAACTCTCCCAAGGGTGCCGGCTCGGGGGGAGGATCACACAAGGAGGATTCCCTATCTCCTATAATGCATGACTCTCACTATAGGCCGGACCACTCTCGGTCTAGCAGGGATCATAGGACATATTCAGTGTCCCAAGGCCAACCATCGGCTGCACGGCCTCATTACCACCCTCGGCCGGGGACCCCTTTGACGGGGCCCAGTTCGGAAGAGGTGGCAAGAGCGCTGGCAGTACTCATGGAGGCAATGAGGGCACAGAATATGCCACCGCCTCGTGATCGAACTCCTCCGCATACCCGGCATCAGCGGAGGAAGTTAGACCATGACGGTGGGAAGCTTCCTTCCTTCCGGGAACTGGAAGACGGGGAGGAGGATTCTTGGAAAAATGAAAAACAGAGGAAAAAGAACTCTCAGTTATTTAAAGGATCCTCATCCTCAAGACCAGCAGCGCATAAGAGCAGCAGCTCAGCTTCTCGGCCAGAATCTACTCGCCGGGAACCCGAGACTGCTCGCAGAAGCGTCCTTGACCGACTCGCGGCCAGGAACCGAGCGTGCGTAGTCGCCTCTCGTTCCCTGCAGCCGAGGCCCAGACTTCCCAGCCAGGGACGAAAACCACTCCTACCTCTCTAAGAGGGCGGAGCGCGGTCCCTTCGGCCAGGAACAAGGGCAAGGCCATTATGCTTCCCGCTAGTTCACCATTCGAGCAATGGATACTGGAAGAGCGCGTACCCACGGTTAAAATACCGTCGCATATCACATATGACGGGACCACGGATCCGAAGGACCACGTGGCCTCGTATGAGACTCATATGCATCTTTGCCCCAGATCCGAGGCGACTTGGTGCAAATATTTCCCAACCACTCTCAAGGGGGTCGCGCAAGCGTGGATCTCCAAGGGAGTAAGGCAAGGCTCCATAACAGGTTGGGATGATCTGTCCTCCAAGTTCAGGAGCAAGTTTTCCACGGCAAACCGCCGAGAGAAGACTACCGCAGAGCTCATGGGTCTGCAACAGGGGGAAACTGAAAGCCTCCGAGACTACCTGACCCGTTTCAGTAACGAGTCATCAAGCGTCTCTCAGCTGGACCAGGGGCTAGCTGTTTTTGCAATGCAGAATGGCCTTCAGCCAGGAAAATTCCTAGACTTCATGGTCATGCATACCCCGCAGACCTTGGAGGAAGCTCTTAGTGCTTCGGATAAGTTCATCCGAGCCGAAGAATGGAATAAAGCAAAAACCCAACCTCAATCCGGGGGAGGGAAACAGAGGCAAATACCTTTGTCTGAAGGCCAAGGCCATAAGGCAAAGGGAAAATCAAAGGCTCCGGAGCCATCTCCGGCCAGCGACCCAAAGAAGGACAGGTTTGCCTCGTACACAGGCAGATATGAGTCCTACACTCCGCTCTCTCTTCCACGCGCCAAAATTTACAGTGTGACGAAGGAGGAGCAGAGTTACCGAAAGCCGAGACCACTCCCAGAGTGGTATCAGCGAAAAAATAAAAATCAGTGGTGTGAGTTCCACGAGTCTTCGGGCCACAACACTGAGGAGTGTATCCAGCTGAAGGACCAGATAGAGGACATGGTCCGGAAGGGATACTTGAAAAAATACATCGCGGATCACCGCGAGAAAAAAGAATCCGAGAGGTTAGCAAAGGACCCTCGGCAGGACCTTGATTTCCCCCGGAAAAACAGTAAAAAACAGGAGGGGAAATTCCCTCCGATCAATGTTATCTCGGGAGGAATATACTCTCGGAGGGAGCACAAGCGTCACCTTAGAGCTTTGACTCACCAGGTGAATAACGCTGACATTCAATCTCCCCAGTCGCCGGTGCCGAACATGACGTTCACAGCCGCCGACTGCCGGGGGATTACGTTCCCTCACGAGGATCCGTTGGT